AGCCCACAGTGCCGATCTTATTCGATGACCAAGACAGCGAAGGAGTGCACCTGCCTCATAACGACGCTCTGGTGATCGCCCCACTGATAGACCATGTGAAGGTCGGAAGACCTCTTGTTGATGGCGGGGCGTCGGCTAATATACTGTCCTTATCAACCTACACGGCATAAGGCCGAAAGAGGAAACATTTGAAGCGTAGCCCGACGCCTTTGGTCGACTTTGCCGGGGAAACTGTTAGCGCTGAAGGATGCATCTCACTCCCTGTCACTGTCGGCGAAGGAGATCAGCAAATGACCAAGGTCGCGGAGTTTGTCGTGATGGACCGAAGCTCGGCGTACAACGCCATACTTAGCTGACCTCTGATTCACGACCTCAAAGCGGTCTCGTCTACCTACCACCAAGTGTTGAAGTACCCGACCTCGGTTGGAGTCACCACTGTCTGAGGAGAGCAAAGAACGTCGAGAGAATGTTACACGACTGCGATGAGGGGGACTAACACTTGTGCGGCAATCATGGAGCCAGAAGCAATCGCATCACCACATACCGACGAAGTAGAGCCTAGCTGTGGCGCCCCTGCCGAAGAGCTAGAGCTTGTCCCCTTGCTGGGGCCGGATAAGTAGGTCAGCGTCGGTAGCAAGCTGGGGGCCGAGGTGAAGGAAGAGCTCATCGACTTTCTGAAGGCGAATTCTGACGTGTTTGCATGGTCTCATGACGACATGCCAGGCATAGACCCTAGTATAATAGTGCATAGGCTTAATGTAGACCCTAGCTATAAGCCTGTGAGGCAAAAGCGTCGGTCTGTCGACGCCGAGCGAAGTAATGTAATTTGTAAAGAAGTGGAGCAGTTGCTACGAGCTAATTTCATAAGAGAAGTTCACTACCCCGCGTGGCTGTCCAATGTTGTTTTAGTTAAAAAGTCTACGGCAAGTGGCGTGTCTGCATCGACTTTACGAGCGTCAATAAGCCGTGTCCGAAAGACAGTTTTCCCCTACATCGGATAGATCAGCTCGTTGACGCAACGGCAGGGCATGAGCTACTTTCCTTCATGGATGCTTACTCCGGGTACAATCGGATTCAGATGCATGCACCCGACCAAGAACACACCGCCTTTGTTACCGACCAAGGGCTGTATTGCTACAACGTCATGCCTTTCGGTCTGAAGAACGCCGGGGCGACCTACCAGCGGATGGTCAACATGGAGGTGTACGTGGACGACATGTTGGTGAAGATCAAGCAGACGAGCTCGCATTTGACCGACCTGGCAGAGGCCTTCAGCGTACTTCGGAAGAATCAGATGAAGTTCAACCCGAGCAAGTGCGCCTTCAGGGTCTCATCGGGAAAGTTCTTCGGGTTCATGGTCCACGAACGCAGAATTGAAGCAAATCCAGACAAGATAAGAGCGGTCCTCGAGATGGAGGAACCGAGGAATATTAAGCAGTTACAGAGGTTGAATGGCTGTCTGGCAGCCTTGAATCGCTTCGTATCTCGCTCCACTGACAAGTGCCACCCTTTCTTCCAAACGCTAAGGAAAATAGGTCAGTTCGAATGGACCGACCATTGCGAAGCAGCACTTCAGCAGTTGAAGCAGTACCTCAGCTCGGCTCCGTTGTTGTCCAAGCCACTGCCTGGCGACGTTCTATACTTGTACTTGGCTGTGTCGGAAAAAGGGAGTGAGCTCAGTACTCATTAGGGAGGCGGAAGGACGGCAGAGCCTTGTTTAATACACAAGCAAATCATTGACTGAGGTCGAGGCCCATTACCCTTGCGTTGAGAAGCTGGCTCTAGGCTTGGTAACCTCGGCGCGACGACTCCAACCATACTTCCAGGCGCACAAGATAATCGTTCCAACGAACTTCCCCTTGAGGCAGATTCTCTACAAGCCCGAGACGTCGGGTCGGCTGACGAAGTGGGCCCTAGAACTTAATGACCATGACATCGCCTTTAAGCCTAGAACAGCGTTGAAAGGTCAGGCAGCCCCAGACTTTGTTGCCGAGCTGACCCCGCCGAGGCAAGGGAGCGATGTCCGTGACCAGTGGACACTCTACGTGGATGGTTCATCCAACGAGAAAGATTGTGGGGCAGGCTTGCTGCTCCTCAGCCCCGGTGGTCTTCGGTTCGAGTATGCACTCTGGTTCAGTTTCCGAGCTTCCAACAACGAAGCTGAGTACGAGGCATTGATAAATGGACTGAAGATCGCCAAAGGAATGGGCGTGAGGCGACTCTCGATTCTCAGCGATTCCCAACTGATCGTCAATCAAGTTACCGAGGAGTACCAAGTGAAAGAAGCTCGTATGGAGAGGTATCTGGCCAAAGCCCGAGTGCTCCTCGCCCAGTTTGAGGGCTATGTGATTCGACAAGTGCCGAGGTCCGAAAACTCCAACGNGAGCTAATTTCATAAGAGAAGTTCACTACCCTGCGTGGTTGTCTAATGTCATTTTAGTTAAAAAGTCTAACGGCAAGTGGCGTGTCTGTATTGACTTTACGAGCCTCAATAAGGCGTGTCCGAAAGACAATTTTCCCATACCTCGAATAGATCAGCTCGTCGATGCAACGACAGGGCATGAGCTACTCTCCTTCATGGATGCTTACTCCRGGTACAATCRGATTCGGATGCATRCGYCCGACCAAGAACACACCGCCTTTGTTACCGACCAAGGGCTGTATTGTTACAACGTCATGTCTTTCGGCCTGAAGAACGYTGGGGCGACCTACCAGCGGATGSTGAACATGATGTTCGMCAGACARATCRGGCGTAACATGGAGGTGTATGTGGACGACATGTTGGTGAAAAGCAAGCAGACRAGYTTCCATTTGGCCAACCTGGCAGAGGCYTTCAGCGTACTTYGGAAGTATCAGATGAAGCTCAACCCGAGCAAGTGCGCCTTTGGGGTCTCGTMRGGAAAGTTCCTTGGGTKTATGGTCCACGAAYGYGAAATTGAGGCGAATCCGGACAAGATAMRAGCATTCCTCGAGATGGAAGCACCRAGGAATATTAAGCAGCTGCAAAGGTTGAATGGTCGTTTGGCGGCCTTGAATCGCTTCGTATCTCGCTCCACTGACAAGTGCCACAATTTCTTCCAAACGTTAAGGAAAAAGGGTCGGTTCGAATGGACCGACGATTGCGAAGCAGCACTCCAGCAGTTGAAGCGGTACCTCAGCTCGGCTCTGTTGTTGTCCAA